AGGCGTCGGGGAAGGAGGACATCGAGGGGTGTGGGAAGGGGATGTCAGGAGGGGAGGGCGTTGGGGAGGGATGGCATTGGGAGAGGGGAGGGCGTCGGGGAGGGAGGGGTAAAACCGCCCAGGGCCCACCCAGAGCTCAGACACAGCTTCAGGCGGGGCCAGGGCGGCATTCCAGTGAGCTCTCTTGTCCCAGGTGACTCGAGGAAGTGGTCTCAGGGCACTCTCCAAAAACCAAAGCTTGGGGGTGGGGTCCTGGCTAAGGATGGGAGCTGGGGGGCACAGACAGGCACCCCAAGGCACTTTCTGCAGCGGCGTGCCCAGAGCTGACTCATCCCCTGGCGAGGAAACTGAGTCTGGGGAAGGCAGGACTGCCTCGGACAGAAGGGCTAGCGTCCTTTGGGGCCGGCCATGACACTCTCCGGACGCCCCGTCCTCCTTGCATGAACATCCCAGGGGGAGGGGCTGGATGCCCACTGAGGAGAAGCTCCCGGCCCACCCGGCGGGAGAGGGAGAAGCGGAGGCAGCTTTTCTGACCCCCAACTCTGCACCCACCACCACGGCCACGGTGAGCAGGCTGCCGATGGTCAGGATGGCCAGGGACAGCCGCAGCAGGGGCTGCGTCTCCACGCTCTCAGACACGCCACGCAGCAGCCCCCACGCCGGGCAGCACCTCTGTGGAGTAAGAGGATTCAGCTGCCCAGAGTCCACAGCCGGGACCAGGAGGGGCCCCGCCAGCAGGCCTGGGGAGTCAACTGTCCCCGAGGCAAGGGGCGGCGCCCAGCCCCACCCGGAGCAAGGCCCACCAGGCTCAGCAGGGAGGACTCCCGGGAGAAGTCCCAGGCCTCCCAACTCACCAGGAACTCCGTGGCGAAGCACAGGCCCAGCACCAGCCCCAGCGTGCAGGCTACCAGCCCGAAGGACACCCCCAGAGCCACCGTCCTGGGGAGGAAGAGGAAGGCCTGAGTTCAGGCGGTCCCTTCCATACCCAGCTCCCCAGCTCAGCTGCCACAGAAGGCACAGGAGGCCAGGCCCCACGTGAGGCTGGGGTCGACACCACACCCCTTCTGGGACCACGCGAACAAGAAGCGTGTTGTATCTGGCACATAAAAATTACCTAAGCGTGCTCCCTATTTTGTCTCTATCAAGCCCGTGACCCAACTGCCCCCCCAAAAAACCATCAAGCGGCTGACCTCAGCTCTCCCCACCTCACATCCCCCACCCCTGTCCCCCACCACAGGGCCCTAGAGTATCTCAGTGACTTCTGCTCGATGCAGTGCCACTCCGGACAAATCATTAACCCTCTGAGCAGGTGATGGTACCTATGGTTTTCAGGGTCTATCCTAAGATTCCACACACCAAAGGCAAAAATTGCCAACTAAAACGCCTACCGATCACAAAGATAATAGGAGACTGAGAAGGTGAGACATTGGGGAGTGAAGGGGCCTGTGGCACAGCAAGCTCATTCCATTAAAAAGTGCCGGCCAGGCACAGTGGCTCACTCCTATAATCCTAGCACTTTGAGAGGCTGGGGCAGGAGGACAGCTTGAGCACAGGAGTTCGAGATCTCGTTTCTACAAAAAAATTTTTAAATTAGCCCAGGTGTGGTAGGACGCACCCATAGTCTCAGCTACTCACGAGACTGAGGTAGAAGGATCACCTGAGCCCAGAAGATTGAGGCTGTGATAAACCGAGATCATGCCACTGCACTCCAGCCTGGGCAACAGAATGAGACTCCCACTCAAAAAAAAAAAAGGGGCTGAGCTCAGTGGCTCAGCCTGTAATCCCAGCACTTTGGGAGGCCAAGGCGAGTGGACTGCCTGAGCCCACAGGTTCCAGACCTCATCTATACAATCAATCAAAAATTAGTCAGGTGTGGTAGAGCACACCTGTAGGTCCAGCTACTTGGAAGGCTGAAGCAGAAGGATCGCCGGAGCCCACCAGGTCAACGCTGGGGTGGCCGTGAGCGTGCCACTGCACTCTAGCCTGGGTGACAGAGTGAGACTCCAACTCAAAAAAGAAAAAACAAGTTTAGGTGTTGGGGGCTGAGGCAGGAAGATCTCTTGCAGCCAAGATTTGAAGACTCCCTTGGGCAACAAAGCCACCCCTATGTCCTCCAAAGTCAACAAATAAAGTGCCCAGGTGGCTCCAGGCGTGCGGCCACAGTCCTGGTCTAGCAGCCAGGGCTCTAGCAGCTGGGACTCCAGCTGCCGCTCCAGTCCAGCCCAGCCATGCAGCTCCTTGCAAGTGTGCCAGTGGGTCCCGCCACAGCCGCCTCCCAGCCTGGACCCCGGAAGCCTGACCCTCTCCACCCGGCTGACCTGGGCATCAGCAGAACATGGACGAGCAGCATGCAGACGAAGATGAGGCCGGCACAGGCGAAGTCACGGCGGGCCCGGGGGATGGGCGCCAGGCGGTACTAGGGCAGCAGGGGCTGTGAGACCAGGGGACCACCTGCGGGGCGTGGGGCCCCTCCGCAGGTCCCGCCCAGCTTACAGAAAACGCTCCACCCCTGAATCCCAGGGGCGCTCCATTTCCAAATGTCCACTCCTGCCTTGATGCAGTGGCCAGCGCCTCCTGGGAGGGAAGGCCTCCCTGCATGCCCACCCGCATCTATTCCAAGGCCCTTGCAGAGCTCACGGCCCCAGGTCCACAGGTGGGAGCCAAGACTGAGCTCCCAGAGCTGTCCTCACCCCAGACCACGGAGGGAGGTTGGGCTGAGCCCAAACTGGCAGGGCAGACCCCGCACGGGCCCTCCACACAGGGGCTGTGGAGCCGTCAAGCCCCCCGGGGCTTGGCGTGGGTGAGGAGACCAGGGCCCAGAGGCATCCCCCATGCCGGGAAAGTACCTCTGCAGAGTAAAGGAGACCAGTCGCCCAGAGCCCACAGCAGAAGGCCATGGGCAGGCTTCCTGACCTCCTCAGCCAGGGGGCCCTCAACTCAGGGAATCCCCCCAGGAAGTGCCCCGAATCCTGGACACCGGATGCCACTTCCTCAGGCTGAGGAGGAAGGGGAGTCCCCCGGGAACAGTGAGGGCTGATCCCGTCCTCTGAGGGCCACGCCCGAGGCTGAGGATGGCCAAAGCCTCTGGGAGCCACCACTTCCTGTCTGTGAAGGGGGAGCAGCCCCACATAGCTGAAGCGTGAGGGCTAAGTCACATAACGTGTGTGCCTGAGACACGGCCAGCACCCACGGGGAGCTCAGTCAAGAAACGGCACGATGGCCACAAAGGCGGCTGTCACTGCAGCCAGATGGGAGAGCCCTCAGGGCCTCTCACCCCCGAGGCTAAATTCTGGGTCCCCTGCCCAGGGCGAGGCCGACGTCAGCCGAGGCCCTCGTGCCATATCCACTGGGCCCTGGCGCCTGCTGGAGCCAAGTCTGGCGAGCGCACATGGGCGAGTCCCCAGTGGGCGTCGGGTCAAGGATGAGGCCCACAGTCGGGACAGCCAGCTGGCCACACCAAGCCCGCCCCCAGGATTCCCAGGATGCCCATGCCGATGGGCCCATGGCCTGCACCCCCTTCCCAGGCCTGGGAGGCTCTGCTGCTCTGGCGGAGGCTGCCTGGGCCCTCACCTCTCGCTCGAAGCCCTTCTCCAGGAAGATGGACCCGAAGGTGTAAAAGTCGTCAGACTTGGAGCAGCAGGGCCTGTGGAGGGGTGGCAGCAGGGCAGGATGGGACAGGACGGGGCCACGTCCTCCGGGCAGTGCCAAGGGAGAGGGAGGAGCTAGCTGGGCCCATGCGGGGGCTGGGCCGCCAGGCACGGGACACGGGCACGGGGTCGGCCTGCCTGTATGGGGCCCATCCAAGGGGGTGGGGAGGGACGGGCAGAGGTCCCACCTCACCTTGTGGAGCTGAGCCCCTCGATGGCTGACAGCATTTCCTCATCGTATGAGTCATCCTCCAACCGCCCCCTGGGGGACATGCTCCTGGAACCAGACACCCCGACTCATCACCCAGGGACCCCACAGCCAGAGGCAGGCATATATGAGATGACCCACTGTGGGGGCTGCCAGGTCTCTGATGTGGGTCCTGGAGCCTTATGTGGAATGAAGGAATGGGTGGGTCCCATGGAGGCCCAGAGAGGGCAAGTGAGAGCCCAGCGCTGGCCAGAGGCGGAGGGGTGGGCAGACCCCAAGCCCCAGCCCAAGGCTCCATCTGCTATGCTCATGGGTCAGCATCAAGATCAGAATGCCCACCAGTATCCCCTTCCCTCCCACCAAGCCCACTGACCCCGCCACAGGGCAGGCATACAGCAGATGCCCAATCACGCCATCCGGAGTAGCCGGGGCCAGGAAGCTCTTGAGTCCCAGAAACATTTTGGCTTAGGCCATGGTGTGGAGGTCCTGGGCTGGGCCTCACAGAGCTGCCCCAAAGGGTCAGGGCAGCCTGCCTTGAGGAGGTGGCTGTGACAGGACTTGGCCAGGAGGGCAGGGCACAGTCTGGCAGAGAGGAGGGCAGCACGTGTACCTGTCAGGGATCCGGCGAGGCCGTGGGGGAATGGTCTGAAAGGGAAGGGAGGAGAGGACGTAGTCATTCCCACAAGGCTGGGCCCTGAGGTCCATCACGGACAGGGGTGTCACCTCCGTGCTCCCAGGTGCACGGGCCCAGTGTCAGAGCATCCAAGCTGCAGACATCCTGAGCTACAGCTAAACGCCGAGGACAGGGAGGCTCTGGCCACCTGGAGTGTTCTCCAGATGCCTCTGTGACCATCTTACAGGTGGGGAAACTGAGGCTCGGAAGGAAGGGTGCCCTCAGCCTCTGCTCTCAGGGTCCTCCCCAGGGCTCCCGAACCCAGCTCCGGTGTGGGAGGGGCCTACCTTGGGCCTCCGCTCGCCGCCGGCACTGGGGATTTCGCCGCTGCTCACACTCTCGCGGTGGTTGAGGTGCGCGAAGGGCCGCGCCGCCCCCCAGGACTCCAGGTAGCGCGTCATGCGCACCGATGCCCGCATCTTCAGCGCTGCCTCCCCTTTGGGCTTGGGGAGGTGCTGGCTGGGAGGGGGTGGCTGCTGACTCTGTGGGCAGACAGACAGGCCTGTGCCACCCGCCCCTCAGCCGGAAGGGGCCTCTGCCACCACCCGGCTCTCCCCTAAGTGTACCATGGCCCTGAGTAGGGCCAGCCACGGAGAAAAATGGCACAGAAGCTTCTCAGCCTCAGGCCCCTTGGAGTGCAGGCTGCTCCTGGGGACCCGCTGGAGCCTGGCGCACTCGGGGCTAGCTGTGGGGCCCAGCCTGGCAGCCTATCCCTACCCAGTCGCACCTCTGCCTCCCTGGGAAGAGATGCGGGGTCATGTCTGAGGCCTGATGCCCTGCCGGCCTCTCCTGTCTCTTAGGGTTCCCACAAACACCACGTGGTGAGCTGCCACGGGCACCCTGTCCCCCTCACCCCTCTGGCCACATGTGGCCCACACGTGTTGATGCCTTCTGTGGGGAGGGTCCAGCCTGCCCCTGGGCAGCATTCCAGGGAGTCCCATGGGGCAGAGGGCCATCACCCGCCGCATGCCTGCAGGGCCCGGCACCAGGCCAGGCCTTGGTGGCTTGTCCGGCCCGGTTGCAGGGTCAAACTGCCTCTCCTATGGACAGCACAGAGCCTGAGCCCCAGAAAAAGGGCCTGCCTGAGCCTTCCCCCGTCAGACGGCCAGAGGACTGGAGGGGAGGAAGAGAAAGATGAGGCCACTAGGCAAGCTTAGGCCACCCTCCAGCCCCACAACATTCTCCGGCCCTCTGGGAGACCTGCCTCCTGGGGCCCCTGCAAACACCACGCAGAGGGTACCTACAGTCACAAACTCTAGCCACAGCATCAACTTTTCTGGAAACATCCAGCCTCCTTTGGGGCAGAGTCATGTTGATGCCCTTGGCGCCTTTGTCTGCTTAGCCCGAGGGAGCAACGTGGATGTAGCTTGACGAGTGTCCCAGAGCCCGTGCAGGGCCTACGGTGAACAGCCCGGAGACAGGGCGTGCATGTGTCTGCTCCCCTCAACTGTGCCTACATAGCACCCAGCCATTCAAGTTCAAGTCCCTGGCACTTCTCTCAGCAGGGAAGCCGGACCCCCCAGCTCCCTGAGAAACAACTAAAATAAGCCTGTGCTGAAGACCCGTGGGCCTAAGAACACACTCGCCTGCTCAGCATGGGCACTGGAGTTGCACCAGCCCCTGGGGCCTTGACCTCCATCCAGCCCTCAGCGCCCTCACCTTGCCCGGCCACCCAGCACAGGCTGCCCCATCACTCAGCACGGGGGCGGGGCCCGAGCCTTCGGAAGCACCTCCACGTCCACAACCTGGAGCTAGGACGGTGCCAGAGACGAGAAAGGGACTGTCCCCAAGATGGAAGAAAGCCAGGGGCTTGGTCGGACTGGGGCGTGCTGCTGCTGCCCTGGCAAGGGGGTGTGGGAAGTTCAGTGTCCTGTGATGGAAACCTCTGGAAGGAACACCAGAGATGTGCCACACTGGTCCTCTTTGGGGGTGTGCTGACTGGGGACAAAGGATGCCAGGAAAACTTTCTCCAGCATGCCCTCACGCCTGTGAACTCCCACCTATGTGAGGGAATAGTTAGACAAGCCGAGGTGGGGAAGGGGCTTGCCTGTAGAACACAGGCTGCCAGGTAAGCGCCACCGAGACAGCCTTCAGCTGAGTATTATGTTTGAAGTTCATGTTGGCCTGCCCTACAGGTGGGTCTGGAGCTGGGTCTGCTGCTGCCTTCTGGGTGGGGGGCTCTGCCGCATTCCCTCAAAGCCACCCAAGTGCCTGCACCCAGCCAGGCGCTGATTTCGGTGGGGGTACGGTCTGGGGTAGAGGAGCCCACCTCAGAGTTCACACCAAGATACATGCAGAAAAGTGATAAACACAGGGCATCTGGAGAGCAGGAGGGGTGTTCCAGGCAAAGGGACCCACAGGCAGCCACCAGCTTGGCAATGGAGGGGAGGAGGTGGCCAGGAGGGGTGACAGGACAGGTGCACGGGAGGGGGCTTGGAGCAGGGCCCAGAGTTGTGGGGTGCGGGGCGAGGGACTGGACCTCATCTAGGAGGGGTGGGAGCACCCAGGCACTCAGCAGGGGCTTCCCAGATGCTGACTCAGCACAGATGGTGCCCCACAGGGCTGGGGGACATCAGCAGGACGAGACCCAGAGGGGGCCCCGCCAGGACAACGGATGTGTGGGGAGGCTCCCAGGCCGGCCCTTGGCCCCCTGGAGTCTGACAGTCAGACCAGCGCCCGGCACAGTCAAGCTTTCGGGAGAGGAGCCGGAAAGTCAGGCCAAGCTAGCCCCAGGATGACTCACGGAGCCGCGGCCAGACAGCTGCCCTCTCTGGAACAGGCCACGCGGGCAGTGGCAGGCTGGCGCCAGCCTCTCCCTACCAACCCAGGGTCCTGGACAAAGCTGGGTCCCAGGTCAGAGCCCAGGACACACGGTGGCTCCCTGGCCATTCCCTGCTTGCCTGAGTCTACCCCAAAGCATGTTTAGAAAATGTGTCTTTTGCAAATCACAGCCACATGGAAAACAGACTCAGTGGCTATGGTGTGTACAGTGCTGATGGTGTGATGGACATGTGGTGTGGGCACCCTCACAAGAGGGTAGGCCCTGCTGGCATTCCATCGCAGAGAAGAGCACAGGCTTGGAGCTGTCTGAAAGCCAGGGAACTCACTCCCACCTAGACAGGCCCCTTCCCTGACCTCACCACAGCCTTCAGAAAACACTCTCCCTCCGTGGGGGTCTCCCCAAGGTCTGGACCCCACTCCCCAGGACAGTCCCGCTCCCAGCCCCCCAGCCGGCTGCGTCTGAGCCTTCATACCCGGGGATCGATGACCAGGTAGGTGCGGATATTCATCTCCTTCAGGTAGGGGTCGCGCTGCTGCCCGTGCCCCTCCTCCACCTCGTACGCCTTGTCCAGGTGGTTCAGCGTTGCCTCTGTGATGTGCACCCGGCTGGAGAAGATCCAAGTCATCCGTACAGAGCAGCACGGCCCAGAGAGGGCTGGCACCCACCCGGGGATGCACAGCAGGCCAGGCCAACCAGAGCCCCAGGCCGGTTCCCCCCACTACAAGGTCACTGATTTCATCCCCTTCCTCCATGCCTGACTCCACCCTGGTCCCCCTCTGTCCTGAGTCATACTGGCCTCTGCCCCCACCTTGGCCTGAGTTGGCCCCTGGCTCCTGCCCTCCTCCATCAAGAGTCAGCCCTGCCCTCTGCTGCCCTCGTGCACAGTCCAGCCAAGCCTCACCCAGGAACTCCAGCCGCCTCCATCCTGTTGGCCAGGGACACGTCATGGGACCACACGTCGTACTGCCACTTGCGCAGCCCAATGACCCCACACAGCACGTTCCCCGAGTGTATGCCCACACGCATGCTGATGTCCACGCCCGTGGCCTCCCGCACCTGCCTGGAGCAGAGCGGCCCAGTCACCCCACCCAGCCAGGACCCCAGGACAGGCTGCAGGTACTGGGTCTGGGCGGAGCACAGGGAGGGAGGGGGATGGAGCGGGAGAGGATGTTCTCAGCCTGCTGGGGCTGCCTCCTCAGAAGGGGCTGAGCACCCCATCCCTGGGAGCATACTAGCAGACATGAACTCCAGGCTGGGCAGGAAGGAGGTCCAGCCTGCCTCTGTGGCTGAGGGTGACGGCCCTCAAACACCATCGCCGGGCGCCTCCCCAGACTGGCAGGTTGGTCAGGGTCTCCAGAGGGGCCCCGGCACCACCCGAAACCCAGCACAGACGAGGCACGTGCAGCCACCTGGGGCCTTCTCTACTGCCAAGTCCCAGAAACAGGATCCTCGGGCCCCAAGGGTACAGGGAGCCCAAGGCTTCCTGGACACAGGACAGCCCCAACATGAGCAGGGCCTCTGAGTCCCTGTGACAGGTGAGGGAGGACAGGGGAGCAGCTGGCACACATGCCCCTGGCAGGGCTGGGCATGGACCACATCTGCCAGGGCCAAAGCCCAAGGGGCCTGCACAGCCACCCAGTCTCTGTCCACAGCCCTTCCTGCCACACAGCCACCTCTGGTGGGAGGCTGGGATGGGCTGGAGCTGGAAGCTGCACCTTCAGGCAGCCCAGCATGCCCTGGTTGTCCCCCCGGGTCAGTGTGGCTGGGCCTGCCTGCCCACACAGAAAGTTTTTCCCACAGACCCGGCTGCTCAGGCTCATAGAATCTCTTGGGGATCAGATGTTGTCAGAAAGTGACCTGGAGGTCTCCCTGTAGCCCAAGGGTCAGTCCCTGTCCTCATGGGGTTGGTGGGGGCAGGCCACAGATGATGCCTTGGAATCAGCCCCCGAGTCTGAAAGGTCCTCCCGCTGTCTGCCCTAAATCCTTCCTGCTGTTGTCGCTAGGACTCTGTCCCTGGGGGGATCAGAGCCCACCGGCCCATCCTCACGTCATCCAGCTCTGAGCTGCTGAGATGTTTTCTGGGACACAGAGTCACAGGCAGACCCAGAGGGAGAGACAGGCAGCCACTTTCACCCCGAGTCTCAGCTTCCTCATCTGTAAATGGGAACGATGCACTCCCCACCATGCCCTGGCAGCAGGAGGGCCTGCTGGGGACAGGGCCTCATGCCTGGCCTGCCCTGTACCTACTTAATGGCCTCGCACATGTCCAGCCCCATCTTCACGCAGTTCCGGGCGTGGGTGGGCAGTGACACGGGCAAGCCCGACACACAGTAGTAGCAGTCGCCCAGGATCTTGATCCGCATGCACTCGTTGGCCTGCAGGGGGCAAGGGCGAGGCCTGTGGGTGGGACATCTGGGGCTGGGGACACCATCGAGCCATCTTCCCGTCCAGGGGAGCCAGGCTCTCTTCTGGCTGCCTCCTGGGGCACCAGACACCAGGAGCAGCTTCTGGGCCCAGCACAAGGACGGGGGACATGAGGGCTCTCCAGGAAGAACCCTGAGCCAAGAGTCAGGGGTGAAAGCAAGTGTGACTGAGGGCCTGTGGGGGAGGGGCTGCCTTGGGGGCGGGGCCTGGAACCCGACAGGAGCTCTGGGGGGCCCTCGTGGTTGGCTGACCAGCAGGCAGCCTCATCCTCTGACTTCAGTAGGGAGAAGCCAAGGGGACTGGTGTGGGTGCCCAGCTCCCCTCTGCAGGGTCACCGGGGCCAGACCCGCACCAGTAACAACGGCTCTCCAGGTCTGGGCCCGATTCGTGCCCGCCCCCTCCCACTCCCATCAGGCCTGGGTCACCACTTGGCGCTCTCAACCAGACCCTGGTCACCTCATCTGCCCTCCCTCCAGCTGTCCCTGTACCGGATGGGCCCCTGTGATTAGCCCTTCACTGCGCCCCATCCAAGAACGCACTCTGAGCGTCTGCCTGATGCCTCCGCTGGCCCATCTGACACACACTGAACTCTGTGTGACCGGAGGGACAGGAGAATGGTGGCTTTCCCAGAAAGCAGGCAGCCTTGGGCGGCCTGGCCGCCCGGGAGCCAACCGTGGCTCCAGCGGCCTCATCTCTCTTGGCGCCAGGCCCAGGACCACACAGGACCCTGCATGGCTCCCAGGGGTCGATGGGAGGCCAGATGCCAGGGCTGCTCTGCCACAGCCAGCAGCTGCCCTGTGCATCTGACACTTGGAGCTGGGAAGGCATCCTGAGCCCAGGAGCAATTCAGGCCCCGGGAGAGGAGGCCCCAGCTCTGGGAGGAGACTGCAGGTCTGGAATCCACTCACTGACAGGAGAGGAGGCTGGGACCTTCTGCTGTTTCTGCCTGGGGACTGGATGCTCTGACTGGGAGGCTCCACTTCCCCACCTGTGCCGTGGCCATGCCTCCTGGTCCTGCCGGGGAGGGAAGGCTGTCCACGAGAGCAAGGGACACCCAGGGCTTCATGGCAGCGAGAGAGCCAGCCATGGCCCGAGCCCCAGGACCCCAGCCTCTAGGGTCTCACTCCTGGTGGTTCAGTAGTCATACAGCTCCTGAGAAGGCTCCAGACCAAAAAGGCCCTCCAGGTCACTCAGTCCATGATGCCAGGATCAGACAGCTCTCCAGAGCACCCTGGCCAGGGGTGTCCTAAGGAGCGTGGTTACTGCCTGGGATGGGGAGCTCACCCCTAGTACCTCCTACAATTGAGCAGCTCTGATCATGAAAGATTCTTCCCAGTGTGGGGCCGAACCTGCCTCCCATCAAGTTCTAGATCATTGATTCGCCACACACAGAGTCACATGGGGGATCTCAGAAACTCTGATGAGTGTGGGCTAAGCTTGCGGTGTTTGTGCTAAGCTTTCCATGTGATTCCAATGTGTAGCCAAGATAAGTAGCAACTGCCTTAACGCTAACACTTCAATCTCTAGCGGCCACCGCTTTCAGGAAGCCTGCCCTGGCCTCCTGAGTCTGCGCTAGGGGATCCCAGGCTCCTGACCCTCTGTGTCCCTCTTCAAAGCACATAATATATAGGTTGCGAGCAACTTGAGTGCAGGCCCGAGGCCCCCAAGCTCAGGCCTGGCACTCGGAGGTCTCGGGGCCACTGAGACCATCAGTGAAAACCCTCCTTGCCCAACACCTGCTCAGCACCTGCCATGACCCTCAGCATCCTCAGGACAAGCCCCACTCCCCGGCTCACCCTTCAGTTCCTGCATGTCTGACCTTGTGACCTGGCCCTCTCACACACTGAGCCATGGGCACCCATTCCAGGGGCACACAGAGCTTGCTTTTTGTATACGCTGTTCCCCTGCCCAGAACATCGTTCCCTCTCCTACTCTGATCTCTTTTCAGGTTTCTCAAGCTTTGATGTACGTGGATTCTCCCGGGATCTTATCAAAGCAGACCCTCCAATGAGGCCGGCGTATTCCAAGGTCCTCCTCAGCTCCCAGGTACAGTGGAGGCTGCAGGGCTCACCCAGTGAGGGTGGAGCCCTCCTCCTCCAGGCAGACTTTCAAGCCCTCATCTGACCCCTAAGCCCCCATGAATACCCACAGTGTGCACTGTCAGGCTCTCGCCTGGCTCCACGCTCTGGCCACCTGGACCCCTACCTCTGCCATGAGGTGCCTGGAATTGTGTGCACTGGACACTGAGATTCAGCCATGGTCTCCCTATCCCGACCGTGGCAGGTGCCAGTGCACGATGCTCCCATGGACACAGCCGGGGTCCTGGCTCTGCCCCACCAGCTGGCGGCTCACCTTGGCGATCTGGTCAAACTTGCCGAAGAGCTCGTTCAGCACCACCACCAGTTCCTTAGGGGAGCAGTCGCTAGCCAGCCGTGTGAAGCCCACAATGTCTGCGTAGAGGATGCTGGGGGGGAGTATCAGAGTTGATCCTCAGGGGCAGGCAGCACCAGGAGCCCAGGAACCCACCAGCCTGAGCCCCGTCAGCCTGGCTCTTCCTCAGCCTCTGCAGGGCTGGGAAAGCCACGCCAGCCACAGAGTTCCGGCGGCCTCACAATAAGGCAAGATGGAGCAAATCCCAGAGTCTGCAGATGCCCTTGGCCGGCACCGGTCCCATCACTGCCGATGACTGAACTGTGCTCTTACAGGCAGCTCAGAACCCGTCCTCCCTTCTTACGCCCAGAGGTTGGCCTCAAGCACAGGCTTCAGAGCTAAACTCCCTGGCGAGATGAGACTCCGTGCTCCCTCTAGCCAACCTCCATACCCAATGCTTCACACATGGCAAGTTCTCACAATCCCTGCAGGACTCCCACTCTACAGACAAGCAAACTGAGGTTCAGGGAGGTGACGACTTGCTGGGAGGCCAAGAGCTGTCACCGACACCAGATCTCCCTGTTCCAAAGTCTGTGAGCTCATGGTTTATGCACAGCCCGGACAGTAGGCAGCAGGCCAACCTTGGATGCAATGCTGATCCTTCAGGCAGAGAACTCAGGGGAGCTCACAGTATCCACATCTACACTTAACAGCTCCCAGTACCCACACCTATACTTAACAGCTCATAGTATGCACATGCACACTTAACACAGGTCGGTGTATTCAAGTAAGATCCAGTGACCCCTTTGAATGAGCCGAGGACAGGTGTCAGAACTGGGGGACTCTTGGTCATAGAACCCTGGGGGACTTCACCTCTTTTTGGGGGGGGTCCATGTCCCTTTGAACCCAATCTGAAAGGATCCCTTACTTCCAACAGAAAGTTTCCTTTGCTCACGCAGAGTTTTACAATTTGGGGAGCTACTGGGTCTTCCCCAACACCAATCTGAGCTCTCTAACTTGAGAACCTTCATCCGATCCTCACTCCAGGGAAACAAATGGGGAGACTGAGGCCCTAGAAGGAGCTAGATTGACCCGAGAGCCCTGCCATCCCCAGTCCCTGTGTGGGCTGACATCTGGGCCTCCAGACAGGATAAGGGGGCCATTGCTGGGGCCAGGGAGGAGGGGGGCCCAGCACTGGGGACACCATCCGCACACATGCAGCCCACAACCTGCCCACCTGACATTCTGGTGCCGCTTGACGTAGAGGCTGTGGAAGTTGTTGTCAGGCACATAGTGGCGGTCCCCGCGCTCCTTAAGCCGCTCGATGATGGCCAGCTTCATGCCCATGGAGATGTGGGCTGGTAGCACCGAAAGCAGCAGGTTTTCCTGGGCACAGGTGGGTAGACCAGCAGGGGGACCGGAGAGGAACAGACAGGATGGAACCAGGCTCCACAGCCTCTGGCCCCCCTGCCCACAATGCTCCTATCTCTGCTGGCTCACGTCCTGCCACTAGCCCAGCTGGATGCCCACCCCCCAAGTCCCAGCAGCCCTCAGCTGTGGAAGAAAGGGCTCTCTCTCTAACTGGGGTGGTTAAGCTGGTCAGTGGGCAGCCTGGGGACTGGCCATGCACATGGCTGCTCAAGTGTCTCACATCCAGCAGAGAGGAAGAGGATGAGGTATGTGGGGCTGAGGAGATGGCAAGGAGGCCAGGACAGGGAGGCTAGGGCAGGGAAGCTAGTGCAAGGGGGCCAGCACAGGAGACCAGGACAGAGAGGCCAGCACAGGAGACCAGGACAGAGAGGCCAGCACAGGGAGACCAGGACAGGGGGGCCAGGACAGGAGGGCCAGCACGGGGGCCAGCCGTGACTGGGAGAGGCAGACCCACCTGTTGGCGCTTTTCAATACGCAGCTTACGACGGATCTGGATGCACTTGACCGTGTAGGTGAACAGGTCTCGTGAGGCATCCTGCATCTGATGCTTGTGGAAGGCACCCGTGAGGTTCCCGCACAGGAGGATAATGGCGTTGGCCAGCAGCTGGGGGGCCAAGGGTGGGCTCAGTCGGGGGTCTGGCAGGGTACCCATTCCCAGGTGGTCTGGAGATGGCAACCCCATCATCTACTCTCCCCCAGCCCACTCCAGCTGGCACTCTTCCTGGGCAGGCAGGGAAACTGAAGCCAGACAGGACTACAGGACCAGGACTCCAGCCCTTCTCCGCATCTGCCAGGCACAGTCCCTGTCCAGGAGAGCTTGGGTACCAGAGTCCAGGGAAGCCCGTCACTTTTAGGGAGGCAGAAGCGGCCACACAGTGGCCGGGACCCAAGAGAGTGCTAGGGCGGTCCCAGAAGGCACAGCGCCTTGCTAGTGCCCAGAGCTCCAGCCTCTATCCTCACTAATACAAAGAAAAGATTCACTTGATGCAAAGGCACAAGCTACGGTGTACTGGGACACTCCTTGGCCCCAGCAGGATGGGCCCCAAGGGAACTAAACCCCAGGAGCAGGACAGGGCCTGGACGGTAGGGGACCTGGGTGGCAAGGCCTAAAGGGGAACCATGAGAGACCTCAGGGGAGCCCTGGCAGGCAGGGCCAGGCCTCGGGGGGCTCCAACTCTGCCTGGCCTTGAGGCCGGGTGTCTGCAAACACGCAGAAGCTACAGCTCACCCAAATGGCCTCACCCACCCCTCCACCCAGATCGCAACTCCCTCCCCAGAGGCTGGTCCGCCACCCATGTCCCTCTCCACTCACCTGCCGCGCCCCCTGGACACTGGGTGCGGTGAAGGCCCCCATCAGGGCACTAAGCACCAGAAGGTGCGACGTGGTGGAGAGCATGCCTACGGCCACAGCTCCCTGCATGCTGAGAGGCAGTAGCGTGTACGCCACGAACACCACGAACAAGAAGAAGGGTACCTGGGGACAGGCACAGTGAGCATGGCAACTGCACGCCCAAGCCCGGGACACAGCCTGAGCGGATGGCGCCTGCACCCTCTTGCCTCCCAGGAGGCCCCCAGACCCCTGGATGCTGAGCCTTGGCAACCTGCCCACCACCCAGCGCCCTGTCTCTAGCTGGCCCGCCCCACTCTCCTGTGTAGGGACACACAGGGAACAAGAGGAGGTCAAGGTGCTCCTGGATCGGGCTCAGCAGCAGTGTCCGTGGTTTCCCACATGCTGATTTACTGTCTGAGGTCAAGATGGAACCTCCCCATGAGTGAGACTCCAAGCCCTGAGACCCAGGGAGCCCCCGTGACCCAGGGAGCTCCTGCCCCATGACTTCCCTCCCAAGATGGTAATTACTGGAGGGCTGGGCAGGGCCCACTCACCTGCTGCCT